AGATAGATAGATAGATAGATAGACAGACAGATAGACAGATAGACAGATAGACAGATAGATAGACAGACAGATAGACAGATGGATAGATAGACAGATAGATAGACAGACAGATAGACAGATAGACAGATAGACAGATAGATAGATAGATAGACAGATAGCTAGACAGATGGATAGATAGATGGATAGGAAGATAAATAGATAGATGGATCGATCGATCGATAGACAGATAGACACATAAATAGATTAGATAGATCGGTGGATAGATAGACTGGATAGATAAGTAGATAGGTGAATAGATAGATCGATAGACAGATAGACACAAAAAATAGGTTAGGTTCAGTAGATAGATCGGTGGATAGATAGACCGGATAGATAGGTAGATAGATAGATGGATAAACAGATCGACAGATAGACAGACTGCGAGATACATGGATGGCAAGCTGAAGCTGGCTGGCTGGGTGCCGGCTGGCTGGTTAGATGGATAAGCAGACAGACATATAACATATAGATAGACTCGGTTCCGTTTGGCTAGGTAGGAAGGTAAGTAGGTAGGTAGGTGGGGTCGGGTCGGCCGGTAGAAAGAAAGAAACAAAGAATGAATGCCGGAAAGAAAGTCGAGATATGTCTCCCTGTGTGTAGTGCTGGACATGTATGTGCAAGTCTATGCAAGAAGACCGTAGATAGACTGAGTGGGCCATATCATGTTCTAAGATTTCGAGACGGACCGGCTTTGCAGCTCAAACCAGGTCTCTCTAATAGCTCTGGGGAAGTCTGCACTTGAATTTTTTTGCAAACGAAAAGACAATGGCCCCTTGTGCACAAACTTGAAGAGGGGACCGGGGCATCAGGAGACGACATGCCCACGTCCCTGAAAGCACGTGCCGCCTTGCCACCGGAGTCGAAATCGAATAGATCCAAGATCTTTCCTCTAAACCATCCACGCGTGCACATGCAGTGCGGGTTCGTTAACAAGGCCTGCAAACAATATGCACCAGCGCATGAACGCGCTAAAGAAGCATCGTAAACGTACTACCAGTAATACAGATGTGTATATATGAGTACACATGCATATAGATGCGTTTGTGTGTGCCTGCCTGTGTTTGCGTGTTTGTGCGGATATATTATCACGTACGGATCAACGCACACGTATGAAGATGCGCATATACGCGCATATACGAATGTGTGCACATGCATGCCTATCTTTATGTATACATACATTCACTTTATAAGCATCGTACATACTTTTATCGTGTGGCTTTACTACACATGCACAGTCTCACGGGTGCAGGCACGCAGAGGTTTTTCAATGCATCATGCAATATCAATATCATTGCAGATGCACTCCCAGGTCTGCATCACATTCACAATGGTATCAGTGCAGGCTGAAGCTGGATTAAACCTGAGATTTAAGCCCATGTAATTGGTACCACACTTCTCACATGCATACAGATTCGCGTGTAAGCATGCAAGGCACCCTGCAAGGGAGAAAGGGAAGGAAGAGGGAGGGAGAGCGAGAGGGACAGAGACAAAGAGAAGCGTGAGGGAGGGAGGGAGAGATAGAGAGAGAGAGAGAGAGCGAGAGGGAGACAGTGACAAACACAGAGAGACAGGCAGCCGGGCAGGCAGGCAGACAGTGGGTTCTGACTTATATAGGAAAATGTATTTTGGGAGACGGCTAAGGAAAACCAGGCGGAGATGCTCTCCAACGATCCCCGCCTACATAGTGCCGCTAGAGAACGAGAAAGACAGTGGGAGAGAGAGAGAGAGAGAAAGAGAGAGAGACAGAGAAAGTATAGCCGCAAACTGTAGCCATTACATGTACTTGTCTAGCTTGCAGCATGTCTCTAGTCCATCAGCAGTCTATCCCAGCGGAAGGCTCCAAGCTGTCTTCGTGTTGGAATCGCTCTCCTCATCCCTCCAAACCCCAAGTCAGCCCAAAGCCCAAAGCCTAGCAGCAGTGCAGAAACCCCAAACCCCCATACCCCAACAAACCTAAAGCCTAAACCCCTCAAAAATCCTCAACCCCAGGTCCTATCTCCAAGTGGTCCCGCAACTTGAAGCCGGCATTCTCGGAGGTCCGCTGCTCCCCGTTGATGCGCAGGACCTGCCAAATCGTGCGATTCGGAGCTCAGGTCTGATTCGGGTAGGACACGCCTAGGTTTCTTGTAGTCGGAATACCTGGTAGATAGAGCCTAGTTCGAGGAATGCAGGCAAGCCTAGGGTTTAGGGTTTTTAGGGGGTTGAGTATCAGTATAAGGGTTTTTTTTTGCACGACCATTTTCACCTCGCCGAAGTCACAACAAGACGAAAGCGGATTCCGCTGGGCGTTTGGATCCACAGTGGCACTGGCTAGCCATGTAGAACACCCTGAGTATAGGGTTTGCGGTTTAGGGTTACTCTGATTGTACTCTGTGGGCAACCAATGGAATTGGGGCGTCCTGCCACGATTCTAGCTGACAGCGTCCCTTGTCTCTTGCCCTCCCCACCGTCGCATTCTCTTCCTCGCCGATGGGAGTGTCCTGAGATTTTTGGTGGGCCGGACTGCACTTCAGTGCTGTTGTGGATCTCTGCCATTGTAACATGTAAATCGACAAAAAGCACAGCGTACAACAGCATGGAAACACACAACATCTTTGCTTGGCCACTGGAGAAGCAGCAAGTGACCTTCCAACCGTCACCAACCAAATCGTGGTCGCAGCGCCCAAACGCTGAAACCCTCAACCTTCCCTTTCTAAGTCCGGCGCTTGCTTCTATCTGAATTAAAACTAACGTCCCTCAAGCCTAAAGTCTAAACCCACTAGAAATGCAATGCCATGAAAAGAAAGCCCAGTCAAACATTAGAGAAAATACCACAAGCATCACTACAAATCTTCATTGTCATGGTAGTAGCCTCACGGCGTTTCCCGGAATGACTGAGGGCAGCTCTGGATGTGTCAAGTTCGGAACCTGGGAAGGACGGTTGGACTGGCTTTTCCTGCCGGACTTCTCAGGCTCAGGTTAGGGTTTAGGGGTTTAGGGGTTTAGGGGTTTGGGAGTTTTGGGGTTTTGGGGTTTAGGGTTTAGGGGTTTAGGGGGTTAGGGGTTTAGGGGTCTAAGGGTTTAGGGGTTTAGGGGGGGTTTTGAGGTTTAGGGGTTTTGGGTTTAGGGGTTTAGGGGTTTTGGGGTTTACGGGTTTAGGGGTTTAGGGGTTTTGGGTTCAGGGGTTTAGGGTTTAGGGTAGGGCTTCGGGCAGGTTGGGGCTTGGCAACGTGGTGGTCCGGCTGTTCCCACGTAAAAGCCCGTTGGATAAGCAGAGGGCTTTTGCCACGTGGTACCTACCTATGCACGAAAGACCACCAGGGCCAACTGAAGTGCGTGTTGCAGGGAGGTATCTTCGTTCTAGATATAGAAACAATCGTAAAGATGCCAGCGGTGAAACGTCTTTCTGCTCCTTTTTTTGACCGTGTTCTGCCTTCCTCCCCCCCTTCCCCCCCTCCTCTTTCGGCAAGCAGCGCTGTAGTGTTTAAAAACTGAAAGAACAAGAATAATGATAGAAAGAATAATGCACCTTGCAGTACTGATATGTATATACCCTTTTTATTAAGGACAAGCAACAATGCGATACCTTGGCCTTGGCAACATGAGCGCGCGTGCCATGCGACAAACCGACGCCGTAGCAACACCAGGTTAGATTGTCACACCGATGCAGGGCTCAGGAACAGATTACTTTCCGCCTGGCTAGAGAAATTTCTCCCTCTCCCAGCTTACGGCTCTCCGTCTGAACTCCCATACTCGTCTGCAGCTCAGGGGGGAGCAGACACGGCGAGCTGGTTCATCTCCTCGAGTCTTCGTGGGTGTTAAGCATCAGGGCTCCAAATCCCCGCACAATGTCAACTCTGCCAGGAGGTTACTGGGACCGGGTGCTGGATCGGATCAGGTTGATGATGACGAGGCAGCGGATTCTATTCCAGGCATGACTGTCAGCCTACGCTTTCCCTTCACCCAGTTGCATGCATGCAAGGCGTATGGAGGAGTTGGACACCGTGTTGCACATCGTGCACGGCAAGTTCGTACCGGAAGTCGTCGCTGAATCCCTGATAGTCCCTATACAGGGATACTACAGTTTACACCCCAAAAAACGGCAGCATAGCACCCCTATTCCACTCATTCCAAACCCCAAAAAGAGCACCCCTCCCAACGATTTCGCCCCGCCCCACCCAGGAGGTCCTCACTCAACTGCTCAACCTTCGACTCCAAGGAGTTGATCTCCTGCGGCTTAATTCTTCGGGTTTTTTGCCTCCTACTTAGCAAGGACGTGCCCGCATTGCAGGGTGGTTAGTCGGCTTCAGAACTGCACAAGTAAGCCCCAATTGCTAGGGTTTAGGGTTTAGGGTTTAGGGCTTTTTTTCCCTCTCGCATGGCAGAGAACTATGCTCACAGGCGAGGTCGTCTAAAGGGGCTTCCACAAGCATCCAATTCAATAGTCTTCCACGATGTTCATGTAGACTGCATCTAATTTACAGGATCTAGGGCTTTAGGGTTTAGGGTTTAGGGTTTAGGGGTAAAGGGTAGGGGTTCGAATCTCACGCTCGCACACAGCAGGCAAGGCTCCACACATGTCCGTCACGTGAGAGAAGCTGCAGGGCTCATGACGTTCAGGGTCTTGCATTTTGGGCTGTGGGTATACTATACTAACAATCGATTCGGGAACTCTAAGGCAGTACTAGTTTTTCGACCACAGGATCTGGCGGGTTGGGACGCTCACACTCGGACGCCTGCGCTCACACAGTAGTCTTGCGTCGTTGATGTGGAGTTTGAGGGTTTGAGGGATCCTATAAGCATCACGAGAAGTGTTTTTGTTAGGAAGCCACTGCCCGCGAATCGGAGCCAGTCCAGGGCCAGCGAAAGCGATCCTCTTTGATGCGCTTGCCCTCGGCAATGAGGGCCTCCCTCTGCTCTGGCTCCATCTTTCCCTTCATGGACCTGCAAGGCTTGGAATAGGGTTTAGGGGTTTAGGGTTTAGGGTTTAGGGTTTAGGGTTTAGGGCTGGATGCAATGCTCGCCAAATCCCCACAAGCTCGTGAGTGAAAGCCAAACCCTAAACTCGACACAACGATGCAAAGCTGTCCACCCGGAGTCAGCTCAAGCTGTGGCGAAGAGTGGGGCCCAGGCTTCGCATTCTCATTGCGCTTCTTTGCCAGCTGCCTAGCTCAAACACGCAGCTGCGACCCAGTCTAGAACCCGTTCAGAGCTATTTTGTGTTAGGTTTAGGGCCGTTTAGGGTTGTTGAAAGACATCGTTGGGTTTAGGGAGCGCGAGATTATGAGACATGTCAAAGCTATCTTATGCTTCAGGGCTTCGTGCTTACGTTCCTGCCGCAAGCCGGGAGTAGGCTGACATGCGGCACTTTGCTTTAGGGTTAGGGTTTAGGGTTTAGGGCTTTTTGCCTTTAGGGTTTAGGGTTTAGGCTCAGGGTCTCGTCGATGACATCCCCAGGTTTCCCCAGGGCAGCGCCATCTGCAGGAAGTGAGCGTTGAAGGAAACCGCCTACGATGCATGATGTACCAAAACTACTAAATGCAGGACACCGCCCTTGATCCTAAACCCCAGCCTTAAACCCCTAACCCCAACACCCCAAAAAGCCCAAACCCCAAGGCACCCCGAAGCCCCAAACCCACCCCGTAAGCCCTCAAAACCCTAAACTCCCCAACCCCCCCCCGCCCCACCCTCCTCAAAAAAGCAGCAAATCAGACGAACCCCTCAACTCCAAACCCAAAAGTCCACCGAAACCCCCCGGGTGCAGTAGAAGTTGCTGCAGCTCAAAGGCCGAACTCCGCTGCTCCTGGCGGGCGCCAAGCAGGCCCCGGGCACGGGCTCCAGAGGGGCAGCAGGAATATTAGTACGAGCATTGAGATTGTTATTAATACGAATATCGAACCTTTTTTTAAGATTTCTGTTGCCGCTGCTACTGCAATGTTAGTATTGTTACCCTGTAGTTCGCTACTGTCAGTATACTGCTTGCATAAGGACAGTATGACATCAGGCTTACGGCCGGCTCTGCAGTATCATTCTGTTGATGTTTGGTTTGGCAAGTTCTGTAGGTGCCTGTATGGATATGTCGGATACGTACTTGGGGCAAGTCTGTAGGTATCACGGTATCCTGGTATCCTGTTCTAGAGCACGAGAACTAGAAGGTAGAAAGGAACCCAGGAGTTACAGTCAGCTGCAGGACACAAACACAACAGGACACAAACACAACAGACATCCGTGACGGGGAGGTCTCCGAATCCTGCTGTGCACAGCAGAGAAGCGTCCGTCCACGCTCTTTTTGCCGCGTGGAAAGGCTTGTGGCAAAGTCCTCTTGTGCAGGAGATCCCCCCAATCTGCGTCATAGAGGAGGCAGCACAAATATTCTGGAACCGTATGTCTACTTCCTAGTCTGTCCGTCGTACCTGCCATTAGACGACCTATATCGTTAGATGAATAGACCTCTAGCGCGATGTGCGCAGAGGAGGCTGCCTTTGCAAGACACGTAGGAACTGGCTTCAAAGCGTCCTCAGTCAGGCCCTTCCCAAATCCTCGCGATCAGAAGCTCTGGATCTTTGAACTTTGCAGCTCGGGCTTGAAACAGGCTGCCACTTTACGCCTAATTAAGGCCTCAAGGCTCACACATTACTTACTAGCCTGAGGATTTGTAAGCAAGCCCTCACCATGGCCCAAAAGCACAGCGGTGCGATTTCCAGAAAGATCAGTAGCCCCTAGGCGCGAAAGCCTTGCAATGAGGATTTCCGATTGTCTCATTCCTTCTCATTGTCACTGTGCGCTGCACACCGCTGGCATCGACGTGGGCAGGTAAATGCCACGCTCAACGAGCCTGTTTGGCACGCCAACTGGCTCCTACCGGCGACCGCAGGTGCTCCCGGCTTGGCAAGTAAATAGCATTGACTCCGCCAACTAAGAATTTTCCTGTCGTCTAATACCATCCCCCTGCAGAACGAAAACAATAAGAAGATTTAGACTTTAGCCTTAGAAAACACGGGATGCAGCCGCTTCGCCCAGCTCCCTCGTTCTGGCCCTCCAGGGCTCAGGTTCGCTCACCTCTCAGGCGTCGGGCGAGCTGGATGTCCTTGGGCATGATCGTGACGCGCTTCGCGTGGATGGCGCAGAGGTTGGTATCCTCGAAGAGCCCGACGAGGTAAGCCTCTGCGGCCTCCTGCAATGCAAGGATCGCCTGGGTCTGGAACTTGAGGTCAGACTTCACCTCCTGGGCGATCTCCTTCACGAGGCGCTGAAAGGGAAGCTTGCGGATCAGGAGCTCAGTCGACTTCTGGTACTTGCGGATCTCGCGGAGGGCCAGGACGCCCGGGCGATAGCGGGTGGTCTTCTTCATGGTGCCCACCGCCGGGGCAGCCTTGCGAGCCGCCTTTGCCACGAGATCTCCACGTGCTGCCTTTCCGCCAGCGGACTTCTGTGCCGTCACCTTGGTGCGCGCCATGTTGGCGACGAGGTGTTCTCAAGGCGGAGATGGCAAAGATGCAGCAACGAGCCTTGACCTACAAATCTTGCGGGGTGTACCAGCGTACCGACTGCATGACGGACCTCGTGAGCTGAGATTGCTTCCGTGGCGCATCCTTGCGTGAGACAGCTTGGGCCGGCCTGGTACACGTCCACGATCCTGGCCTGGGCGCTCAGAGACAGCAAAGGGTGTGGAGCCGGAGCACACGGGAAACTGAGTCCGAAACTCTCAGATCCGACATCCCGACATCCTGACATCGACCCAGAAATAGCCCGAGAGCCCTGGAGTATAACGAGCCCTACCCCCCTTTAACCCCGAGAGCCTGGAAGTTCCTTCGACCTCCGACTTGCTCAAAAACCCCTGAAGCCATCATAAGCCCTTATGGCCACCCTCGCAATGACCCTTGTAATCACCCGTAGGGTGACCCTTTTAAGGAGCCCTCTAAAGGAGCCCTTGAGTCCCTGGCCACGTCGCACTTGAAGGCCCTGTTCTCAGCATTCTTCTGGACCTGCAGGCCGACAAGGACAAAGTCTCAACACCTCGAGAATCTATAGGGTTTAGGGTTCGGGTTTAGGTTTTAGGGTTTTTTTCCCACCCGCTTCGCTGACTAGGTCGCACTGCAGGTTTTAGGGCTTGGGGTTTAGGGTCCAGGGTTTAGGGGGGCGTGGGGCTTGGGTTTAGGGTAACAGTTCACGGTTCTTGATTCCATTAGCGTCTCTTAGCCAGATCAAGCATTTCAGTGCCAAGGCTGCCTTTCAACTTCCCTTTGTGCTTGACTCACTCCACTCCAATCATAAAACTCGAGCCTCCTCGACGTGCTCCGCCCAGTAGGCGAAATCAAAGGTAGGCCTCGATACCATAAGGGTTTAGGGCTTAGGGTTTAGGGTTTAGGGATTAGGGTTTAGGCCTTAGGGCTTAGGGCTTAGGGCTTAGGGCTTAGGGCTTAGGCTTATGCAGCGGGTGCGCGGGCGGGCGGGAATTCGGAGCCTCGACTCTCTCAAGTCGCACAATGCTCAGGGTTTTGCCATCTCTGATTCCCAATAAATGCTGCCATGCGAGACCACCCATGCATGCAGCCAGGTTTCTTCACGATGTCGCCATCGCCTTCTTTCGCCTCCAAAACTGGTCTAAAACAGGTCAAAGCTGTGAATCTAGAAGGTGCTACATGGCTGCACAATCAGAGAGCGGCCCAAAAATCTGCGGAACAGAAACGTCGACCGTGTAGTGCCCCATAGCCGCACTCTATGATCATAGTACTCCTTTTACAGTAGCCCTTGAATAGTACCTTCTGAGTCTAATAGTAATATGGGAACCTGACTAAGACGACCAAGAAACCCTAGGCCCTAGTGTTCGGGCTCCTTATATGAATCCTTATATATTGGGATATGGGGCCAGGTCTTCTTAATCAGGTTCCTACAGTACCCTCTAACCCTAACCCTCATAATCTGAGCGATTTGCCGAACCCCCTCAGAGTTTCTCCAATCCCCGAAAGCCAGCGAAGCCGCAGCCTGCGCTTTCTTCTTCCCCTGGGGCAAGCGCGGCTGCGTCAGCTTTTCAACAGTATATGACTTATCAGACGTTATTGGGCATACGGTATACAGTGTAAAACTATGTGCACAAATTAGACATTTTGCAGGTTATGTATATATGTGGGACATTGCCACGAGTCTTCAGCTTCTCCTGAAGCTGGGACAGGTGTGGGGTTGGTGGTTCATGGCTCAAGCGTTTAGCATTTTGGGTTTCGGGTGTAGGTATTGTTGGCCCCAGCTCACCAAAGTCGAACTGCAGTTATTGCAAGTCTGACCGGCATCACTCTGAAGAGTGAGGAGTGCCATTTATTTGAATGCCACCTTATAGACTTCTATGATACGCCATAGTATGGCTGTTTTTCGATGCGCGAAACCAACAATTTACCATCACCCTCTAGACTGATGTGAATAGCTGGGCGGAGGGCCAGCTGATTCTTTCCAGCTGATCCCCGAAGGGTTTTCGTTGCCAAAACCTGCCACGTCGAGGGCTTAGAGCTAAGACGTATCTAACAATGTCACTGCAGTGGGTTACTTAATGTAATCTGATGTAAAACAACACCATAAACCTTTTGCTGCAGGCTTGGAAGCAATAACGCCTGGTAGCTATACCCTTTTTTTGAACCCAGTCTCTGATCATCAGCTGGGGAAGTCGGCCACACACGTGCTCAGCACAACGTGCAGCGACTGAACTTTGGAAGTTGAAGTGCATGCGCAACAACACATAACAGCAGAACCCTAAACCCTAAACCCCAAAACCCTTTTGCATCCAGGACGCTTGCAAGCAGCCGGGAAACTCCCCAAAACCCTAAACCCCTAAACCCTAAACCCTAAATTGGTCCATGTCAGAAGTTGTGCTCTTCAATGCTTCGCTCTTTGCCAGTTGCTTCGCTGAGTAGCGGCGCCATCGGCCCCGTTCGGTGGAAAAGTGCGAAGCGTATAAAACAGTTTGGCTGCGCACATTAGCACTCGAACATGCCAAGGCTGACCATTAAAGGAACGAGCGAATAAGGGCGAAATAAACAATTCGGCGGTGCATCACGGACCCAAGAACTGCACAGCACTCTCGTTGGACTTGTAGTAGGCAATGGCGCTCTGGTATTCCTCAAAGTCATCCTTGTACGCTGCCGCCAAATAGATGTTGAAGGCATACCCGTAGCGGAAACAGGATGGTTGCAACGTCACATAACCATAGTTCATGCGGAGCATATACTCCACAATCAAAGCAGCGTATGCCTTGTTCGTCGCATGATGGAGGTAGTGCTCAGTCTTTGCTAGCAGGTCTCTCGACGTCTCCACAAGTATGCCGTGGTATACCTTGTGCACCTCGAAGCCCAACCGGCTTGGAATGAAGTGGTCGATCACGAGCTTATGGTTGTGATAGTCAGACATGTCCATCTGCGCGATGTCTGGCAGGTCACAGGTGCAGCATCGCTTCCGAACTGCCTCCGCTTCAGCTTGGGCCTCTTCCACTGAGAGGCATCCCAATGCCACTCCTTGCTTCATGATATCCGTCAGCTTCAAGCTCAAACCCGACTCGCATGCGTCCCGGTCAATGCTCTTGGTGTCCACAAGGTCATTCGTGAAGCAGGTCATCCTCGCGGACGCAATATAACATGCCTCTAACATGGCGTCGTCCGCCTCGTGTGGAGTCAACTGTTGTCCGATCATCCCCGAAGAGAAAGCATGCAACAGAGCAGGCAGGCCCACGGCCATCCGAACGCCGCCCATGTCCTCCAACCCTCCACTGCGGCGATCCACGTACGCAGCGTGGGTTTCTGAAGCTTTGCCGGTTGCAGAGTCGATCCCGCGGATGTACATGTTCAGCCACTCCAGCACTTGCCATTTCACTAGCTGGCCATCTTCTGGGCACACGGCCAAGTTCATGATCTCCCGCAAGATCCTGTGCAAATGCTGGCCAGAGGCATACAGCGGCTTGAGCTTGTTGAGATGTGCGACGGTTGCTGCAACTTTGGCCTCTCCTGATGCCTGTCCAGCCCCTTCTGCGGTGACCTGTGCGATGACAGCCTCCTCAAAGGCCGTGGGCGTCACAGGCACAGCTTCACCTTCGCAGGCAGCGCCTGCACAGTGGATCGTGTACTTGTTGAGGTCCGTGAGGAAGTCGCCCATCAAGGGCACCTGACCTTCATTCAGGAGGAGGGTCTCGTGCACATCGTCATGCACGTAGAGCCAGGCATAGAAGTCACTGATGATGAAGCGGAAGCGCATCCGCTGCTCTGCGCCGACATCCCCGCCTTGACCCTCCGGTGCCATGAATGCTGCAAAGTCCAAGCCAAAGGTCGCGGCCCTGTCGAGGTTCACTTCAGACATGACTTTGCCAAGCTGGCTGACCCAAGGAACTAGCCACGTCTTGAGGTGTTCCTTGTAGGCCTCTAGCTCCAGAGTGTCAGCCAAGGATTCACATTGCCTCACCTCAAACAAGCCATTTGCTGGGCATCCGTGGCTGAAAGGCCGACGAGCGAGGCTCTGTCAAGATGTACTCCGTGGTCTCCTTTAGCAAAGCAAAGCGTGAGGTGAGGTCCGTCGTGGGTGAGGCCAAATCGATGCACTGCCCGATGAAGCCACTGGGCGAACCTAGCGCCTCGTCTACATTACTGGGGCTTGTGTGACCACTGCCTGCAGTGCTTTCAGTCCACTCGCTGCCAAGCTTCTGCGAGCCTTGCTCCAAACGCTGTAGGGGCAAAGAGAGAGCCATGGGCATGCCTCTACAAGGGAAAAGCGTGGAGTTAATGGCTTGGGCACCAAACGCCTTGAAACCCTAAACCCTGATCAATAAAATGTAACATCCTGAAACTTCCGTACTCCTCCTACCAGACTTGGCCCCTGGCCCTCATGGTCACCGCACTCGCCCGTTTGTCCGCCGTGCGCCTGGCTGAGGTTAGGAGGGCCTGGTGTTTCAGGGTTTTTTTCGGTCCCACTTGGGGGTTTCCGAGAATAGGGGACCCTAATATAGTACCCTAAATAATAGGATCCTTATTACAAGGACCCCAAAATAAGGTACCCCTAATTTTCGGAAACTCCCACTTAGCAAGGACGAGTTTAGGGTTTAGATGGGTCTCACAGCTCAGGGTTTGGATCTGTTTCTTGGTCGATACGGGATCGTCGGAACAGCACTCTTCTAGGCTCATCACCAGAATAACAATCATCGCTAACCTTTCGACTCTCGAGACTGATTCATTGCCGCTCGGCACTGTGATCCGATACCGCAAATGAGTTGACACGCGGTATCGTTTCACGGCAGCCTGAATTTCGCCGACTCTGTCTTGCGAAGTGCATTGCGGAAAAAACCAGTTACGAGTACATCGTGGCCGACATCCTGCAATGCACAGTGCCATAACCCCCAATCGCCGAGTCATACCAACCCTCACGGCACGGCCTCTTCACTGCGATGCCCGCAGCCAAAACCGCTGCAGCGGTTGCGGCAAGCGACGACGGCACACCTTGACCCAGGACTCACGACCACCTGCCTGCTTGGGCTGCTTGGGTTTACAGAAAGATCTGAGATCCGAGACCGTTTCCGGAGATGCACCAAATCATAGAGATCTACTGAGTGACAGGACTGTTCATGTCTGGACGGTGCCCCAAACTGTGGGCGTCTTCGCAGCATTGACAACCATGATCAGCAACAGATGTGACGTGGACCATAGATGCTCTTCTACGTCCAGCACCGGTGCTACTCTCACTCCCGTCAGGGACCAGCATGGACCGCAAATTGAGGACAGCCTTGCTGAGGAACTTCACGATGTGCCCGCCCAGGCCTTGAGGCGAGTCTGATTACCAGGGTTTAGGGTTTAGGGTTTAGGGTTTAGGGTTTAGGGTTGATTACCACAGTCGTTATGGCGGTCCTTGCTGGCAGTACTGACGTTTGCTACTGTTGGTGCTGGTGGTTGCGGAATTCGATGAGACGACGGACATGGCGGCACCTCCTGGGCCTCTCGTCCGCAGTCTCACAAAGGGTGACAAGCAATGAAGCAAATTTGGTTTTTATCTCGAATTGCACTCGTGTCTCTTTCTGGCAGTGCTTGAAGAGGGGAACTGTGCACCCCTGGGAGCCTAACCCCTTTTCTGTAAAGGGTCGCAGGGCCAGCTTTTGTTGTGGGTGTTCATTGCCCGAATCAAAGTATCACAGACCAGCTCCCAGCTCGTGTGCGCAGTCCTAGAACCATGGTTACACACCAGCGGGATGTAGCGTTGCAAACGCTGAGACTTCGCCGCCACGCGGTTGCAATGCCAAAAATGGTGCCGGTGGCGGCGTCGACGGGCCGTGTTGTGCTGGCGGCGGTGGCCGAAGTGATCGTCGTGGCTGCTGTAGTCGTAGTGACGTAGTGGTGGTCATGGCAATTCACTGTACAAGTCGTTGTCGTTGCCTTGGTCGCCGCATTTGTTGTGATTACCGCTATCATCCTTTGGTTGTCATGTCGTGAATGTTGGTGTTGGTGACTGATGTCGACACTGAGATTGTTGATTTGCAGCTGTTTGCCACTGCCTAAGCCATGGCTGTTCTTACTTTTCTTTTGCTAGTCTCTCAGATTCTGAACAATGTCTGCTTCCAAACTAATGCCCCTCGTCGTCTCCACCTGAGTCACTGCCCGCTGCTATCCCAGAGACTCCAATATCCCTTAATTAAGGAATATACCTTAAATCATGTTGAGGATCCTACTATAATTTAAGGAATATTCCTTAATTAAGGAATATTGGAGTCTCTGGGATAGCATTGTGACCGCGATGCCGAAAAGGTCATCAATCCGACCGCTGCTTGTCGTGCAAAAACTCACTCCAGCTGTGATGCCAAGGGCTCCCGATTGTGAGCCTACATATTTCGATGCAAGCTTGGGAGTTGGGAAGTGCATCTACAATGCTGACTTTGGAAATGTCTCAGACTTTTCCGGACTTTGTGAGTTGGGGAGCTCAAAGAAAATTCGGAGACGATAGATCTGCCGGCCTCGCCACAGGCAGCGTTGGCTGGGCCGCGATCACAAATGCCTGGCAAACCCTGCTGGCCTTTGCTTATAAGCCTGAAACCCCTGACGTAAGCAAGTATTTCTAGGTGCAGTACTATCAGGACTTAAAACTAAAGCAAATACATGAATGCGCTCACCTTTTTGCGGCTTTACTAACGCTCGCTGGAATCTCAGAACACTCCAGAGCTTTCAGCCTCGGGGAGAAGCGCCATCGCTCTGCACACGAGGTTATGACTGCGCTAGGTGCTCCGTACGATAAGCCCTGAGGCCTAAGCAAACTTTCGGGTGTCGCTGGAGGAAGCGATGATAAGACTCTGCTTTTGAGTTTTGGCTGCGGTTCGTGCTTCTCATGCCATGAGGTTTCGCTAAAGCACGGCATCGAGCGAGGCACAATATCAAAAAAACCTGAGGCCCACCTTTAGCCACGAAGAGGATACATTGATCTGCGGATGGCTTGACCCACATAAGTTGGGCTCTTGTGCTTGTTTGTTACCGACAACCCAGCTGGAGCATACGGTGAAACCAGGCAGCAACCCTTGGCCTGTGACTGAGGCCCCTCTCTTGTCCAAACACCGTGATAATTCAGATGTAGAGTCATGTAGAGTGTATTATAGGATAGTCTTTTCTGTTCTGTGCTGGATTGTCGAGCCACGGGCCATTTTTTGTGGCATTTTAGGATAGTACAAAATATTCTAGTACACGGTGGCATAGCATTATAGTGAATATATTTAGCTAGACTAGCTCTCAACCCAGCCTGTGAGCATCCCTCCGAATGACAGCACTTCCAGTCACTGCATCGTAAGCTGGCTGGCATGCTAAGAGTCAAAGCATGGCATGCACGAGCCCTCAATGGCTCCGCAAACAAGTCTACCCAACGGGCCTTGTGAGTTTCAAAAACCCCAAACCCTAAACCCTGACGAAACGAAGCAGATACACCCAGTCGGGTAAGGCTCCGGCAGGCACTCCTCGAAGAGGCTGCTAGTCGAGTTTGGGGCCCAGCTCTTCCATGACTTTGGGGAAAGGGCACTTGATATCCGCGTTACTCGACCCAAGCGAGATACGGTTCCTTTATGGTTTTTCTGGGAACTGAGGTTGAGGTTTTAGGCCATTCGTTTTGCTGAGGGCTCTTTTCAATTCGCCTTAGCGTCTGGGAGTTCGGGGCTTTGGGGCGACACCCCCAACAGTAAACATCAAGGGCTTGAGGTGTAATACACGGGAAGCAGGCTCCGCGCACTCACCACGACATTCTCAGCGACCCCAAGACGAAGAACACAACAGACCGTCAGAAAATGCAAAACTCCAAAGCCTCCTTCGAAAACCCGAGGCCCTAAAGGCAAGACGACGAAGCAAAGCCCGGAAACTAATGGCAGACACGGCTCCAGCGCGGGCTGAGCCCGCACCTGCTCCTGCTCAGCTCTGCCACAGGGGTTGCAAAGGCTTAATATAGGGACCTTAATAATTACCTATACTATTTTGGGGGTTCCTTATTATACTTATAGGATAATATGCCCCAAAAGCCTATTCTAATTACTAAGGCCTCTATAATATGATGTCTGATTGCCAGACAACGCCAAGCTGATTGTAACATTGACCTTTTGCCAGGACTACGACGGATGACGCCAAAGACAATGACGAATGAGCAGAAGGAAAATACTGCTGTGGCTGCAAATGGAAAGCCAAGCACTGGAATGCTGAAGATGACGATCGACGACGAGGATGATGGTGACGGCTAAGGTCATGCTGATTTGGATCTTGATGATGCCCCGAATGGCAGGCAAATTGCTGCTGACGAAGAAGATAGTTGTAACTGTGATGGTGATGGCGGCGACGATGGCTGGCGACTCCAGTGATGAAGATGAAAGAAATGTAGGTGATGCCAATCCTGGCACGGCCACACAGGAAGCAAACACGAAATCAGACAAACAGTGATACCTAGAAGCAAACCACACCCCATCACTGGCGCACAATGACGCACGCATCCACACCCATCAACGCACTAGCGGCAGTTCGTGCCTGAGAAGCGGAGAGCAGGAGAAACCCGGCAGCCCGGGCGACCTCTGTGCGACTTCAACCGGTGCAAGTACCACAAGGAACCCAGAGACTCCAATATTCCTTAATTAAGGAATATTCCTTAAATTATAGTAGGATCCTTATTATGATTTAAGGTATATTCCTTAATGCCTCTGGAAAAATTCAGCACCCTGCACCGTCCTCTCAAGACGTACCGGCTACTGCCGTATCCCGAACGCGGTGGGCCCACCAGGCTTAATAGACGTCAAACTCCAAGTCTACACAAAACCAATACCCAGCCAGTAGCCCGGTGGCCTGACCCATAAACTGTAAAGTAGA